CGTATTTAAGTATCGTTACTGTTACATTAACTGAAACTGATGTTCTGCTGCTGTTCTGCCGTAAAAATATACAACACAATACACTTTGACCACAAATGCATTAAATGTGCCACATGTACACATGACCATGTGCTTTGCTATTTATAGCGCAAACGTAAATAAGCTCCGCCCACTGTGATCGATGCAGACGCCAAACACGATCGATTCGATTTTTTAGGATAAAACTACAGAAAATTTATTGACTTATATCTTGATATGGAGCCATTTGTTGTATCCATGGTTTGTCACTCAAGTTGATACGAAGTTTGACGGTCAATGGTGATCTTGTTCCTGTATGGTTTTCAAAAAACGTCTCCCGACACTCGGTTGTGTTTACATTGTCAGTCATTGTTCGAAACTGAAACACCGCCACCTTGCGGGCTATTTATAGTCAGGGTGGGGCTTTAAGGATCCAAGGAAAGTACAAAAGTTGCTTTACAAAATATGAGGGTACCTTTGCCGATGCTAAAGGGAAGCTCTTCGGAGACCCTTTTTTCAACACGCTACTCGCCGAGGTGAAGCTTAAGCAAAAGGCCAGGGACATTTTTTGCTGTGCGGCATTCTGCTCCCAAGAAAAAGATTTCTTCTTTATCGCAGCATCCCTTTCATGACGAGCCCTCAGGTAATAAGCCCAGTTCGTCTAGGGGCGGATTCAGAGTTCAGGCATCCTTCAATACAAGCAGAGGAGGGAAAGACTGTGGTGGGAAAAGAGGAAGATCCTCAGGACCATATGGGTTTGTGTCACTCTCTTTCAACAAATGCTGATGTCATGAAGGTTGGCATAAGTTCAAGTCCCATGAATCGGAATGGCCAGAATCCAGAACATCCAGACCGTATGTTACCAGAAATAGAAGATCTAAGATTAGAAAACATTCCTGTCCCAGAATTTTTTATTTTTTTTTGAGGGGGGGGGGGGGGGGGGGGGGGGGCAGGATAACACATTTCTACACCAACTTGGCAAAAATTACTCAAGACCAGGGATTCTTCAGACCGTTCAGGGCTTTCATATAGAAGTCATTCACCATTAACTCTTTCTCAGGTGAACCAGGTTGTTCTGGACAAGGAGATTGGGAACATGAAGATGAAAGGGGCGATAGAAGAGATTCTTCCGGCTGTGAATCTGGAGTGTTCTCAATCTCAGCCCCATGTTCATAGTTCCCAAAGAGGATGGAGGTCAGAGACCAATACTCAATGTGAAAAAGCTGAATGCTTTCATTCCATATAATCATTTCAAGGTTGAAAGCCTTTCACTGAAGGATGTCATTCAGGAAAACGATTATATGTGCAAACTGGATGCATACTTCAGCGTCCCATTTGCCAGGCACCAGAGGAAATTCCTCCCCTTTCAATGGAAGGGGCGACTGTTTCTTTGCCTATTTGCCTGCTTGGTCATTTGGTCTAGCACAAGCTACACGGACGTTCATCAAATTGCTGAAACCTGTGGTGAGCATTGCATGAAGAGCAGGAATTCGGATGATCGTTTACCTAGACGATATGATTCTCTTTGCCCACAGTCCAGAGAGTCTAGTCCATTGCCGAGAGAGTCTCATGTATCTTTTGGAGAACCTAGGTTTCGTTATCAACAAAGAGAATCAGTTTTGCTCCGAGTCAGAAACTCAACTTTCTGGGTTCTGATAGATTCTAAGTGTCTCATCCTAACACTTCCCAAGAAGAAAGTTAGTTCGCTCGTTAGATACGTTTAGAAACAACTCGTTGTAAGATAAATGGTATCTGACAGACACTCAAGTAGTAATCTCTATTTATCATCTAAAACTGGCTCCCACAGGAGATATCGTTTCGGTCAGATCAAGCAATAATTACATTGTAGATATCGCTGCAATGAAATTGCATCACAATGCTTTTCAGACCAGTATGACTTCATTGGTTACCATGATGTCACAATCAAATGACATCCCGAATGGCTTTACTACTGAAGCTTTAAGTAGTTTTTTTAAGTCACTGCTTATTACTGTCTACAAACTGAAAAAGTTGTAAGAACGATGTTGGATGAAAGATACAATCTCACCCTCGTGTCCTTTGATATCAAATTTATCAAGGGGGCACAGATGGCCCAGTCGTCTAAGGCGCCTCGATTCGCTGTGCTGAGTTGCGTCACTTGGGCACGCCAGAAATCTATAATTGTGGGTTCGAATCCGATTATGTCTCTAGGTTTGTCTGCACAATTACCTGTTCTCAAGGGTTTCACCAAAGTGAAACGTCAGAGACCTTCATCACTTCGGGCTTTCCTCCCACATTAAGCTGTCACGCCTTGGTATAACTGAAATACTGTTAAAAGCAGCGTAAAACCCAACTCACTCACTCACTCATTGTGTCCGGACCACACCTGTCACACTTCTTTCACAAACTTGTGTTGAATAAAACTGAGAGGTCTCAATGAAGAATCCTTCATGGACAGCAATGTATAATGAGGTTCTCAGGGACCTATGTTACACTTGTCTTTGTCTCCCCAACTCAATTCTTATATAGTTGTGGATGCTTCGTACAGGGTACAGTGAGGTGCCAACAACGTATAACATCAAGGAGGAAGGTTAATTTAAGAAAGAACTGAAAGGCTAGGTGTCATGCATGGCCAAGTGGATCCACATGATGATAGCATGCACCTCAGAGACAATGTGCCTCTTATTGCAAGCATGCAGACCAGCTGCATTACATACACTCTTAAAAAAAAGAAACGCACAGGTCGTATGTAGTTCATTGAACCTGACTACACAAAAAATCCGGAATCTAAATTGGATATATGTTTTTAGAAAATGTTTCCACAAATGGTGCGTTAAAACTTGGGCATTGGCGATTTGCAATGTCTTAAACGGCATTGTTATCACACTTGTTCCAAAATGCAGTGCAAGTTAGGGCATTCGTAACTCGTGGTAGTGGCTATAAAAAACCAAGCATAAGCCAATGATTTGTCATTCAATTGTCAACATTTTTCAAATTCGAAAATGCCGAGACTCAGCGCTGCCGATCGGAACATCGCCATAGGACGTATCCAAAGAGGGAAATCACAGTCTTCTGGTGCACGCCAATTCAACGTCCACCACAGCACCATTTGCCGCCTTTGGAACCGATACACACAGTTCAATTCCACTGCAGACTGTCTCAGAACCAGCTGACCAAGAGTTACCGCCCCTGCACAGGATCGCTACATTCGACTGTTCCATCTACGTCATTGCAATGCCACAACTTCTGCGATTGTAGGACGCATCCCTGGTTCAGGGGGATATCGGACCAGACTGTCAGAAACCATCTACGTGAGGCTGGAATCTGACCCAGAAGACCAGTTATCATCCCTGTTTTGCAACAGATCCATCGACAGCGACGCTTGCGTTGGTGCCATGCCTTGGAATTTGAAAAAAACTGGTGACGAGTGTGGTTTAGCAATGAATCACAAGATGCAAGATTGAAGACAACGTGTTTATCATCGTCGAAATGAGCGTTTTGCCACACATTGTGTACATGAGTTCGACAATTTCGGTGGCGGTAGTGTCATGGTGTGGTGGGCAACATCCTACTCCACGAGATCTGACTTGGTTGTGGTTCAGGGAAATTTGACAGCACATCGCTACATGAATCAAATTCTTCAACCTCAGCTTCTTCCAAGTATTGACCGCCAGGGGGAGCTGTTTCAACAGGACAACGCTCTACCCCTCAGTTCGTGTCACATCCTACTCCACGAGATCTGACTTGGTTGTGGTTCAGGGAAATTTGACAGCACATCCCTACATGAATCAAATTCTTCAACCTCACCTTCTTCCAAGTACTGACCGCCAGAGGGAGCTGTTTCAACAGGACAACGCTCTACCCCTCAGTTCGTGTCACATCCTACTCCACGAGATCTGACTTGGTTGTGGTTCCGGGAAATTTGACAGCACATCGCTACATGAATCAAATTCTTCAGCCTCACCTTCTTCCAAGTATTGACCGCCAGAGGGAGCCGTTTCAACAGGACAACGCTCTACCCCTCAGTTGGTGTCACGGTAGGCTACGTTCATAATGCCAACTTAAACATTTTACCCTGGCCGTCAAAATCTCCAAATCTCAAACAAATCGAACACCTCTGAGATGAACTCGATCGACGTGTACATTAACATCAGAACATGCCGCAGACACTCCCACAACTGGCCGATGGCGCAGAATTCCACAGGACAGAATTCGTACACTTACCCAGTCAGTGCCTTGGAGATGCAGAGCTGTGATTGCTGCCCGGGGTGGTCACACGAGATACTGAGTTCAGCGCAACCTTGTGGCCTTATGTGACATGACAATGAACAGTTTTCAATGCCTTTGTACAACAACAACAACATGTGACTATCTAGCCCCCAAATTTCATATTTGTTTCTATGATATTAAATTATATATATCGACTTCATTAGGAACAATAGATTTGCTAAAAATCTACCTGCGCGTTATTTTTTTAAGAGTGTATATCACCTTAGTTATTACATAGTAGTGCAGGTAGTGTACACTTTTGAACACAGGGCGGACCCAAAGTAATTCCAAACAAGGGAGACAACCCCTGCTGTGGATGAAGTATTCTAGTAGTGGTGGTGGCGGGGTTTGGGTAGGCACTTTCCACATCGCTTGCAAAAACCACAATGGTAGGGCTATTATGCTCGTTACCTGCTTCACAGCAGTGTCCCATTTATCTAGCATGCAGCTCTTCAGCAAGTAGAAGCAATGACATAGTGTTAACTCTTGTCTGCTCAGGGTCCACCCAACTGATGGGTTATTGTCAAGACAAACTATACAAACATCAAGGAAGTAATCTCCTTTTATGAATGGTGCCCGCCTCGTCCATCCACAACGTGACCTTTCCCCCAACAAAGTTTCCTTCTATTGTCCTTCTCTGTCATTCAGTAATGTCTACAGCACTTTTAGTGAAATTCTGTCAATAACCATAACATATGTTAACATTGTTTTGTGCATGTGCCTTTGATACTCACCCACTGAATGAGGACACACCAATGCTGTAAGAATTATCTGCTTCTTTCATGAGATCAGCATCCATTACCGTGGCTCTGTTTCCAACTCTCTTCCAGTGGAGAAATTTCACTTCTGAGTCATCATCCATGTCATAAACGTCCAGAGGGATACGCATTTTCACATCACGTTTCAGTTCTACATCAGGTTTGATGAATAGGACATTTGTTAATCCCAACAGGCAACCAAACACTCCATGTTTGGCGTATTCCTGGTACCTCTGTTTGTCTAGCACAGTTGACTGAAATGTAAGTATGTGATAAGTATGATATTTGATAGATATTGATAGCCTTAAAAGTAACTATTGCATAACATTTCTACAATCATATTGAAAGAAACCTGCGCTGAAAGTCCACATTTTCTAACCTACAACTTATGTAAAAAACACTTTAAAATGTCTTAAAATAATTATGATGACGTCACGCTATTGCTGCAGTTAAGTGTAAGCCTGAACATTCACTGGGAATTCTGAACGTCATTTTGTGCAAGTAACTATAGGTCGTAATTTAAAATTAGAGAGAAAATCTGTTGATACGTGAAATAGAACCAACAGAGTGTCATAATTTCTCCATTACCTATTATATTGTTTCTTGAGACAACACATACGTGATTACGGACAAACACGACCTATGATCTTGTAACCTAATACGTAACAAACACATGCTTTTGTAGGCTTATGCATTTGGCTGAAGACAACACACTACTTGAACCTAGAACCTAAAGTGACACTATTTGAAGCAAATTAAGGCCTACTTACCTTGAATTGAAAAACGACTTTTTTGTCAAGAGCTCCTTTTGGAAAGTCTACTGTAATGCGATTATCCACTTTAGAAACGAACTTCCGACCTTTAGGTCCAACACTCATGTACTGTATATGCGTCGTGCCTGGAATTTGCTCAGGGCCATCCTCCTCGATGATGGCACATAGAACCCCACTTCTCTTCACTGTTACGTGGACGGGACCATAGACCTAGGTGGTATTAAACTGGTTTATGCACGCATGTTTTCAAATATATTAGGGATTTCCATTTCCTTCAAAATGCTGGGTGTGGCGTTAGGCAACAAACACCTACGTTTTTATGCAAAGTGTTACAGTGAGACACAGTAGAGCAGGACATACTTACCCATGTCACAAAAACCTAATGACATCACTTATGTTCTGTGATCCATTCATATAACACTTATTACTATTTTGACATTTACGCCCAATGGAATCTGTTTTGGTAGATAATTGAGACAGATTATTCTCTGGCTGAGGAAGTGGAAATGCCTAAACCTGTAAACAAGACCAGCACTCTGTAGAATCAACATGGCACCAATGCTTACGTACTGGAGATTCCATGTAGTGTTTCTCATATATCCCCTTAGCTCTCTGCAGAATGTAGAATGAATAATCTTTGTGCTCGCTGAGTCTGCTCGGTAGCTTCACTGGCATTGTCACATCAACAGAAATGTCATCTGTGTCATCCTCGGCAAGGAACATGGGAGATATTTGCTTCTGGCGCCGGCTAAGTTGCATCTTCTTGTGAAAAAATATAACAGAGTTTTCCTTTCATAAATAGTGAATTTTCTATAGTTTCTATATATTAAGTATATCATGGAATTCTGTGAATTTGAAATTTTGGATGTAATAGTCCACGTTTTTACTAAGAAATACTGCAACACGTTAGACGGCACCGGGAAGCTATCAGAGATGACACCCCTTCATCCACAAAGATTGACAGTCTGACCCACCGCCAATTAGGAAAACCCGAGCTCTAGGAAAACGTTCTTAAACCGCAGTGAACAAGCCTGCAACTCGTTAACCGGCACCAAGTAGTCTATGAGATGGTACTATAAATGGTTACCCGCAATCAGACTATCTGTAATCAGTTACAAAGACTTCTTAAGAATTGTTGTACTATCTTGGAACATGAGAAAAAGGCATCACACATTGAACCATGTCATAAATCTAAACCACAGCTTTTGTGCGACGAATGACCACATTAATTTAATAACCATTTGGCTATCCTTCTGCCCCTGATTTTAGAGATTGTACCCCAAATCATTACAATCAATTACCCTCGACGAAGACACACGCTGGGGAGATATCTGAAAGATGAACATAGATAATCATATATGTGCTCAAAGTTGAAAGATATGGAAACACAAGTGACATTTTGATGATTTACTGATGTTAACACCCGCTATTTAAGGTAAATGGGTGCAGTGTATTTACCATAAAAGAATTGACATATTTTTTTATAAATGTCAATAGTCATTTCTTCCGAGTATTGTTTGTTTTTATGTACTAACCTCAACTCCGTCTCTTTCAAGCTCAACCTTCACAACTAATCTGTCAGCAGAAACAAAGTGAATGTAGTACAGAAGACCAAATTATACTGTTTAAGTAACAGAGTAATAACACAGAATGACCATATTTCTTTCATTCAGAGATCTACTCTTTCGCCGATAGTTTTGCAAGATATAATGATGCTTTATGACTAAACACACGATGCTTGGATTTATTTGTTATATACACATGCACAAAAGTAAAACGCCACCAACCATATTTGTGAGCTGTTACTTTTGGCACTTAATGATGACTATTATAACAAGATGTACGATTGTTATAAGCCATGTATGTAATCCTCATGTGATGTAAAAGTTGTCCCAGAGCAAGTTTATCTTGTGTTCCAAAAGAGCAGAAAGGAATTTTACCGAAGACCAGAAATTGAAGGATTAGACAACATTGGAAAACATTTTTTGTCATGTAACTGTAACTGAGTGCAGAGTCTATTGCAAGACAGAAACGTCAGTAACGTGTGTATGATCCACGGACATTGACCACAACTTCAACCCTATGCCTCATACTCATTACAAGTCGTTGAATGCTTCTCTGAGGCAAACGGATCCATTCTTAGTGAAGTGCGGCTTCAAGTCCAGCGAGATTTTGAACTGGGGGATCACGATGTCTGATTTTTCCGGCCAAGAATGTCTCACAGATGCTCAATCGGATTAAGATCCGGACTACAGGCCAGCCAAGGAAGAGTGGCAATAGCTTCTTGACGCAAATAGGCCAAAACTGCCCGACATCTGTGTGGTCTAGCATTGTCGTCCATGTAAACAGGTCTTGTCTGAAGAGGATCGTTGTTAAAATGAAGGACTACCACTGGACGAAGAACGGCATCTTGCTATTGTTGGCCATTCAGGTTTCCACGAATTGTTTCGCCCCCCGCCACCCCCCGCCACCCCCCGCCACATGCTAAGGTATTCTGGATGTTCCTTGGTGCAAAACGAGTGTTACGTTGCCTCCAAACACGTATATGACAATCAACAGTTCATAGCAGCATTCAACACTCATCAGACCAATGGATCCTTCTCCAGTTGGCCAAGTTCCATCGACTACGGGCACGACACCATATCAGACGATTCCACATGTGCCTCTCAGTCAGTTGAGGACGTTTTACTAGTATTCTGGCATTATAACCAGCCGCTCAGCGACGACACCTTACGGTTATCGTCGAGAGTCTCTGATGGGTAATCCAATGCAGTCTTAAATCTGTTGAAGTGGCAAATGGATTTTGTCAGACTATCCTGAAAAGACGTCTATACTCTTTGTTAGAGGGCTTTCTTGGCCTACCGGACCTATGCCTGTCATTGACATCATTGGTTTGACCATGTTTGACAATCAAACGAGTGATAACACTGTGATGACGACCCATTTGTCTTGCAATGGCCCTGCATGACATGCCAGCATTTTTAATGCCTATCTCTTGCCATCTTTCAGCGTTCGTTAACTTTCTCCTCACCATGGCTGATTTTCAACCTCTATTGGAAGGGGAATCTCACATAGGAGCCAAATGCAACCACGTGTCTGAAACTTGAATTTCACTATTTATAGGGTAGGGGAACTGCAGCAACACGTAAATCACGCTTTCCTTGTGATATCTGGACACATTTGGGTTCATGAAACTATGGAAGCCTAATTCAGTCATACATCATCATATTTCGAATTTCTGATTCGCACACGTGAAATCAAGAGACTATGAATATGGTGGCGCTTAACTTTTGTGCATGTGTATATATTACCATTTTATAGTGCTTCATAAACACATGCTCATGATGTAGTGAGAGAATATAATGAAAACCTAGATCTGCATGCTCAACAATGAAAACTCTACATCTTAAACAATACTGGAAATGCCTTTTACATAATAAACTTCATTGCACCTTTTTTTCTTGACAAAGTAAATTGTCACTTACACTCTTTTCACATCAAGTCCAAACTCCTCATGCTCTTCCTCCTCGTTTTCTTCCTCCTCAAATATGTCATCTTCAGTTTCTGTCAATTATATCCACCAAACATATACGAGTCAATATGAAACTAGAAAACAAAGGGGTCAATATCCCCCACAATTTTATATACTTGTGAATAAATAAACTTGTTACCAGGGAAACACAAAAAGTATATGTTTCAAAATCGCAAGCTTTGCGAGGGCACCAATTCACCACTAGACCTATCAATATATATAAATGGAGGGGAAGGGGGTTTGATGGGGGGAGGACGTGTAAGATAAGATTTCGTTCGATAAGATCTCAGTCCCCTGGAGTGAAGAAAGATGTTAATTGTCTTTTAAAAGCAACAGGGCTGTTCAAGTCTCTGTAGCAAAGAACTCAATAAAGTTAAAATAAACTCTAAAAAAATAGGGGATCATGAAAAATGAATGTCATGATCATTCGTCAAAAAGAAAATCAGCTTTAAAACATGACTGTCAGAGTTTTGTTCCGAAACTGTTATAAGTTGCATTTGGACTCCGTGCACTTGGGAAGTTAGCCATTCTTGATTTTGACACTTTAATGAAAGGTCGTAAAAATCATTATCGTTGGGTTTCATTATCCACAGTAGCAGGTAAGCTCTCTACTCTTGCTTTAATACAGTATTTGTAAACTGATTGATCGTCTGCAATGTGATGAACACCTACGGGATATTGGTATGCTTCAAACCAGTAGAACTTGGCGAGAGGTACCCAGTATGATCAATGTGTCTGATTTGCAGATTTTGGAACAGCGTTCTACAGATGTAAAATGTTAATGATCGGCCAGTCACGGGTTGCCTTAGGTCGACAACAAGGTCAAGTCCAGGATCGATTTATCAGAAATATGAAATCGAAAAAATTGAGCCAATCAAATCGCTGTTTAAATTGCTACACATTCTAATACTATTTAGAGCGTAGAAACTGGGGGAATCGACGATTGTCTTGTGTGATGATTGTCTTGAGTCTAGATACTGGATACGTCAGCAAACGTCAACGTTAAAGGCAATATGACAGCTTTGTGGGTGGGTCTGTAATCATATGGGGCAGCATCACTATGACTGCCTGAACGCCATTGCATATTGTCCACGGAAGGGTCTCTGGTCAATACTACCGAGACAAAACACTGTTGGCTATAGCTGTGCCCTTTCGGCGCCATTCTGTTCAACGTGCTGTCTTTTAAAACAATAACTCTCTTGCCCACTGTGTTGGTGTAAACGATTATCTGCAGCAGCATGGCATGACCTCCTGGCCTTCACCCCACAGAGCACGTTTGGGACATGATCGAGTGACGTGTACGCCCCCCGTCAAAAGCCCACCCGCTACATTAGACGAACAGGGCCAGGCATTGCAAGAGAGGTGGACAAGACACAAATGGTTGGTAGATGTATTACCACGCCACGACGTACAAACGAATGCTTGACCAATTGTGGGGGCATGACACATTATGGAACAAATCATCTCAAACATTTATTTGTTTACCACACCCTTTGTCGTCTTTCTGGTTGTTTGCACGTTTACAATACAATGAAAACATGTTCTGTCGATTGTTATGTTGACCTCGTCCTTGTTTTTCTTATTTCCATCACTGGATACATCGTTGCATTTCTCTAACCATCTGTTATTTTCGAATACCCCCTACTTTTGTCAGAGAGTATATTTTCGAATTTAATTCATCTTCTTTTCAATGATGAAATTTTAGCGGACTGCTATTAGTTACTTTCTCTTGAAAGGTCTTCACTTTAAAATAAACTCATCTTCAATGTACATATTGTACAAAATTGCCCCATTATATCTCAGGTCAATCAGTTGGTGTAATTTTCAGCTTTAAGTATTACTGTCCGCTCTCATATCATTATCTGAAGGGGGCACGGGTGGCCCAGTCGTCTAAGGCGCCACGATTCGCTGTGCTGAGTTGCGTCCCTTGGGCACGCCAGAAACCTATGATTGTGGGTTTGAATCCCGGTTTTCCCCGATTATGTTTCTAGGTTTGGCAGCACCATACCCGTGCTCGTGGGTTTCACCGAAGTGGTAAACGTTAGAGACCTGCATCACTTCGGGCTTACCTCCCACATTAAGCTGACACGCCGTGATATAACTGGAATACTGTTTAAAGTGGCGTCCAGTATATCTCCCGTGAATATCCGGGTTAGAATTAGTTTTGTCTTCGGCAACCATTGAGGCGACTAACAGGTTCTCTAACTTGCACGTCATCGGGTCCCAGTTGCGGAGATTGATGCTCATGATGTCAATCACTGGATTGGCTGGCTGGCCCAGACTCGATAATCTACAGACCACCGTCAAATACCTGGCTTATTGCCGTGTGCTGCGTTGAACAACAAACAAACAAACAAACAAAAAAGAGAGACCTACCAGTGCTTGATTTGTGTGCGTCCATGCGGAAGTTGACAGGGTGTTGAAATGTCTCGCCAACAACTAACAAAACACATTCTTCAGTTGGAGGTGACATGGTTTTGAATGGAAAGCAAACACCGCTGCTCGGCATTGACTCGTCAAACTGTATTCCTTGATCGGAAATTGTTCTCTTAACTTCTTCTTCAAGACACATATTATTTACTATCTGTATTCTGAAAGTTTCATTGTCTTTCAAGGTGACTGCATCTGAGCGACTGCTTGTAATTTCCTTGAAACCGGAATCCACGTACTCCTCTACAATATCTCCGGTGTTTGCAACATCAACACAATCAAGCCGTAGGCTAGGCTGTTCATCGTCAAACCTGATAAGGCTAACCAAGTTGCAAAGACACAATTTTCCAGTAAGATACTTCGCTGCTTCTATGACCATTGAACTGGCCACACCTTTGCGGACTTTCCATGCACTGAAGTTGTCAGTTGTTCTACAAAGTAGAAAAAAGCACAGTTCATCATATTTCTGTAACAAATGTGTTCGAAGAAAAACCCATTCTATCCCAAAGAAGTGAACAAGAAATATAAAGTTCAGTACACATAATTCTGTTACATATTCAGACACTAGTATCATAACGGTTATCCTGAAATTCTTCAAAACTATTTTGTTTCTGTGTCTGTTGTTTGTTGTTCAACGCCCAACTTATGAATATTCCAGGTACGTAACGGCAGCCTGTAAAAAAATCGAGTCTGGACCAGACAATACAGTGATTGACATCATGATCATTGATCTACGCAATTGTGAAACAATGACACGCATCAAACAAGCCAGCGAGCCTGACCATCGGATCCCATTAGTCACCTCTTATGGCAAGCAAGGGCGGGGTCATTTTTATATCTATATTGTACTTCATGTCTACAAAGTGCGTTCATTCTAAAAAAATGTTTTTTATATGTATACTGAACCAAATTAAAAACTTCACAATCCTAAAATTTTAACATTTTGACCAGTTATCATTGTGGGCCCTTATGGTGTATTTAAACAGTAATGGCCACGTATTGTCTTCAGATAAAACCCGTTTTTGTGCAGGTGAATGGATCAAAATCATGTGCACAGCACTATAGTGGCAAAAGCGTTTTTTCACGTGCAACTGGTCCCGTGGCCATAATACCGCATGTGTTTTCAGCCATACTTGTTAGCAGTCATTAACAAAAAAAGAAAAACACAAGAATACAAAAGTCTTTACTGCCATTTGTCATGCCACGCCTTTCAGATGTGCAACGTGAACGTGCCATCGGCATGTTGCAGATGGGTTGTAGTCGACAGACTGTTTATGATTTACAGACGCGTCTACAGCAAACGGGTACCACCGCTGATCGCCCTTGTGTGACTTCACATGCAGAGGATCGTCAGATTGTCTTACGTCACCTCCATAACCGATTGTTGACGGCTACATCACCCAGAAATGAACTGTTTAGGGGTAGACTGAGTGCGCAAACTGTTCGAAACCGTCTGAGAACTGCTCACCTTCAAGCACGACGGCCATACTGTGGGCCGATTCTGACTCAATTACACAGACGTCAACGTCAATTGTGGGCACAGCGACACTTACGATGGACTCAGAGGAATTGGAATCAAGTCGTCTTCAGTGATGAATCCCGATTTAATCTTCGATTTGCTGATGGTAGGGCGAGGGTGTGGAGGCGCCGTCATGAACGTTACGACCAGTGTTGTGTACAGGAAGTTGACAGATTTCGAGGCGAAAGTGTCATGGTGTGGGGTGCTTTCTGTGACAATGCACGTTCCAGGTTTCTTGTCATCCATGGCAACCTCAACGCTGCTGCTTACGGCGACCAGGTACTGGCACCAGAACTGCTTCATTTTATTGCAGCACATGGACCCGGTTTGATCTTCCAACACGACAATGCCAGACCCCACACAGCAATTTTGACAAGGATTTTCCTTCAGAATGCGGGAGTCAACGTCATGGACTGGCCGTCAAGGTCTCCCGACCTCAATCCCATCGAACACGTCTGGGATGCCCTTGGCAGAAGTCTGCGCACTCTCCAGAACCAACCACAGAATTTGCAAGATCTTGGCACCATTTTGCAGCAACAATGGCGTCGTCTTCCCAATCCTGTGTTCACAAGCATCACAAGGTCCATGCGGAGGCGTTGTGTGGCAGTTGTCAACGCACATGGTGGCCATACACGCTACATAACTTGTGTGCCATCAGATTCTCCTGCATGGGACTGATTTAAACTGTTGATGTTATTATCGAATACCGTAGGTGCTTTGAACAAATTATGGTTACCAGTGTTAATGAAAATCTTTCTTTGGACATTAATGATTAAAAATTACCTTCTCTGATACATTTATCCGTTGTATATTATAAATGGGATTACTTTTAAAAATGTGAAGTTTTTAATTTGACCCAGTATATATATAAATAAATACATACGTTGAAAAATCGTCGATCTTGACCCTGAAACTATCGTTTCCGATAGCCTCCGGTTGATGAAAACTTTTGACATCCTTATTTTTCAACCTTACAAACACCACTTCATACACATCTTCTGCCTCTTCCGCCTTTTCAAATTTGTCAAGCAATGGTAACGTAAGAAACACCGGATGTAGTATTGTGCTTATGTTTACGCCTGTGATGTTCTTGATATGCAGCACATCAGAAAACCCCAACACAAAACCAAATTTTTTTTCATCCACTTTTTGATATGCCCGGAATCTGTCCAGGTCAATGTGTTGTAACTGAAGAGGACAAATAAGTAAATATATGACCAGCTCATTCAGAATCATGTTGTGTCCATTTAGCTGTTATAAAGAATATTGGGATACATAGAGGATGCATATAAGACACATAAGTATTTTTGCAATTTTCACTAACCTAAAGCGGTTTACACATAATCGGTTTATGTATACATATACACATGCACAAAAGTTAAGCGCCACCATATTCAGTCTCTTGATTTCACGTGTGGGAATCAGAAATACGAAATATGATGATGTATGACTGAATTAGGCTTCCATAGTTTCATGAACCGAAATTTGTCCAGATACCACAAGGAAAGCGTGCTTTACGTGTTGCTGCAGTTCCCCTACCCTATAAATAGTGAAATTCAAGTTTCAGACACGTGGTTGCATTTTGCTCCTGTGTGAGAGCGGCTGGTTATAACGCCAAAAGACCAGTAAAACATCCTCGACTGACTGAGAGGCACATGTGGAATCGTCTGACATAGAACTTGGCCAACTCGAGAAGGATCCATTGGTCTGACGAGTGTCGAATGCTGCTACGAACTGTTGATGGTTGAATACGTGTTTGGAGCCAACGAAACACTCGTTTTGCACCAAGGAACATCCAGAAGACCTTAGCATGTGGCGGGGGGCTGTCATGATATGGGGTTGTGTTTCCTTCGTCTGCAAACTTCCGCTGATGACAACTCGTGGAAACCTGAATGGCCAACAATACCAAGATGCCGTTCTTTGTCCAGGGGTAGCCCCTCATTTTGACAACCATCCTCTTCAGACAAGATCTGTTTACATGGATGACAATGCTAGACCACACAGATCTCGGGCAGTTTTGGCTTATTTGCGTCAAGAAGCTTTTGCCACTCTTCCTTGGCTGGCCTGTAGTCCGGATCTTAATCCTGTTGAGCATCTGTGGGACATTATTGGCAGGAAAATTTAGACATCGTGATCCCCCAGTTCAAAATCTCGCTGGACTTGAAGCCGCACTTCACTAAGAATGTATCCGTTTGCCTAAGAGAAGCATTCAGGGTTGAAGCTGTGGTCAATGTCTGTGGATCATACACATGCTACTGATGTTTCTGTCTTGCAATAGACTCTGCACTCCCTAAGGTGTCTATGTGACACATGATATGGTCTGCTGATATCATGACAGTTACATGACAAAAAATGTTGTTCAATCTTTTCTAATCCTTCAATTTCTGGTCTTCGGTAAAATTCCTTTCTGCTCATATTCTTTTGGAACACAAGATAAACTTGCTTTGGGACAACTTTTGCATTACATGAGGTTTACATATACGGCTTATAACAAACGTACATCTCGTCATAATAGTCATCATTAAGTGCCAAAAGTAACAGCTCACAAATATGGTGGGTGGCGCTTAACTTTTGTGCATGTGTATGTTTTGAATACATATATTGAAATATAAATACCTGAAGCCCAAATGTGTAAGATGAAGCCAGTGCCTTCGGTGGAATGTCGAGAACAACCCTGCTGTCCACACTTGAAACAAACTTCCCACCACTTGGTCCAAGTAGCTCTGTGTCATTAGTTAATTCATCTGGAAAGGGAAATTATCGTGAAGTAAACCACGCTTTGATCTTCATTGTTCTTTGTGATTTATCGCTTAGCCATTGACTATATATACAATTAGTACTTTACCACCGATCTTTCACAAAACCATGTAAACATGTGGAGACGATGATGTAGCCAATATATTATTTCGATGTATCTTTTTATAAAGACTACGACAAGAGTTTGGCCATCTGTTTAGTGTAATCAAGCACTGGCTTACTGACAGTATTTCTTTTTACTGAACATTAGGGATGACCACAACTGCACGAGTGTTAACATTTTTGATTACAAAGTTACGGACAACATGACATGAACATGTAATGTAATGTGTAATACTTACTTGATACCAACGAAGAAGCCATCCTTGTCCTTGCCTTTGTAGTGTTGTACAGAACAGGGATGTATGGCAAATTATATCACGGGATTCCTGTCTGTCGTGGTACTGGCACAACTCTCCAGAAGCTAAGAACGTTGTACAATGAATCTGGAACGTGAATTCGAATACAACTAGTAAATACTGTGGTATTTATGAAGATATTGAGATAAGTTCACATGTGCAATTCAGAGGTGTATCCTACGATTGCAATCCTTTTGCCTGTTTTAATGAATTTTAAGACCTTTGGGACTCCTTCGTATATAGTAATGTGTATTTATAAACAATTAGAGAAGTTTGGCTTATTTTTTTGTTCAGAAATCTAAATTATAGGCATTTTCTTTTTTTTATAAACGAGAATGGTTCTAACAAACCAGTCATTATTACCTACACATTTTACATGATAAATGTTTGTCCCTACTTTAAGTATTTTGATGTTCAAGTAAATGTTGTCCCTAAAAGCGCGAATGTAACCATTGTCTTTCAACATGCTAAAATTGATCATCCAGATTGTTTTAAATATATTAATTGTTTTTTATTGGCTCTTAAATCGTGGGATAAGAGACAATTCTAAATCATCTTTACAGTAATAGTAAAATTAGGGAGCAAACATTTATTCAATTATTTTTTCAAACATAACAGGCTGCTCAATTTTGTTTTTATAAAGACACATAAAAATAACAAAATTTAACACTTTACTTTTCTGTACAGGATGGTCAGATGTTTTATTTTCTATATTTTGTAGGCATCCATCAATATCTGGAGACCATGGGTTAAAGGAAAGTCAGTTGACAGGCGGAGCAAAGTCTGTACAGGCCTACTTGTGAATGGCAGTCCCTGTTCGACAGATAGAGTCTGCTGACTCCTGCCGAGTACGACTTGAGTCCTCTGCTGAGCCCCTGCCTCTATCTCCCGCAGTCACGGGCGAGTCGCTTCCAACCGTCTTTGAAGTGGCGCATGTGGACGTTGATGTGCCCTTTTGTCAGAGGCGTGCACACCATACAAGAGGTCCTTCGACACCACCCCATCCTCTGTGAGGTGGACGTGGCCGAGCCAGCAAAGTCGGCAGTGTTTGAGAACAGAGAAACATGGAATCATGGCGTGGGAGACGACTTTAGTCGTTGTTTTTCGGTCATTGCTGCTGAAGCCGACGATGTGCCTTCGGCTGCACATCTGGACTGGCGTTGAATGTCTTTTTGCCGTATAGCAAGCTGCTGAGGACGCAGGCTCCTTGGTGTGTGTTGTCGGCTGCTCTACTCCCATACTCTTTTTGGCAGTCAGGGAAAGGTGGTTGACGATCTGCCGATCGGCCTAATCATTTAAGCATACAAGGATAGCTTGTGGTAGTGGCACTGAGGCAGGTGAGCTTGTTGTTGATGTCGGCGTGCTGGCCAATCATGTTAGGCATCTTTAAGCAATTGGTCAAGCTGAAGTGCTGGCATCTACTTGAGAATCAGCCCATGAGGTTTTGCAGCTGTTTCTGTGCCAGAGCTGCTGAAGGAAAAGCATGTGTCTGATAAGGGCTACTTGCCCTTTGGTGTTTGACTTCAGTCGATCCAGTTTGAACAGCTTCTCATCCAATCTTGTGTGGAGTAAGACTCTGTCCAAAGGCATGCTTCAGATTCCAAAACCAGTGGAGGCAAAGCAAGCCTAACGTATGCAGCCTGGTTTTACTCCTCTGGGAATGTCAAAAGCATCAGAGGACGAGTCGTCAAACTGCATGGTGACTTTCATGGCAGTGTGGAATGAATGGATTGTGTTGACAAGCTTGGGTGGGCAGCCAAGCCTTGCAATCTCTGCTCAGAAGGGTTTTCGGTGGTTGATGAATGAGACGTAGTGTTTACGCTTCTTCTCAAAGCACTTTTCCTGCAGCTGTGTGAAGATCATGTCGGTAATGAATCTTTCTTCCCTGAAGCCTGTCTTCTATTTTAATGTGATTTTTTTATGGTGTACAGGAATTTTGTTCTAATAACACCATATGTTTATGTTGAAATATATCATGGTTATGTTATTTGAGGCCTTGTCAGTAGAAACAGCTACAGACTTTTCATATAAGGCAGCCAGACTTTGGATGACAGCTAAACAGAATTGGTTCCAGTATGATGATTGGCAACCACTAGGTGTGGAATTTACATCATGAGTCCATGTTCTAACTAAACTTAAGAATGTAGAACACGATGTCTCTGTACACAGTGATGAACTCAAATCTCTCTGAATTGAAAAGGGGACATGAAACGTGCCTTCTCGATTCTCGAAAGGCAATGTATTCTGAAAGTCATAAAAGACAGGAAACAAAATTTGCTGTTCTATGGTATTACCGAGAGTCCAAAAGAAAACACAGACGAGATACTGAAACAAAGTCTTCACGGATCAGTTATAAGTTGACAAGGCAAGGATGGACAACCTGACAATGTAGATTACACATAGGTTTCCCAAATCGGAATATCAACACCAACATCGTCCAACTCCACCGACAAGTATCATCCCTAGATGTATGACATAGACGACGTTTTTTGAGCCACGGAAACTACTTAAGGGAACGGGATTAAGTATCCAAACAGGCCTACCAGCCATGATGAAGAAGCGTCATGCAATCCTCAGTCGACAGAGCTAGATATACGAGACAACGAAAATCTGTGGACAAGGGTGCGTTTGGTTGGCACTGACGTTGTGCTCGAGGTTAAGGAACGCCAGAATCCATCTTCAACTCTGATATTAGTTTAAATCCGACATCTTACAAAGAAGTATCTGGGAATTACGTTAATTCATATTTGTGAAAAAGCTGAGAAACTATCTGGGTCATTTAAAAACTACTATATCTTTTTAAGTCACAATTAAAATTAAACGTATCTTGTTTTTAACTCCACATATCTTACTGTCTCTATTCAACACTACCTATAACTGATACATTGAGAAAATATCAGACTCGTGCTCTGTTGTTCGACAATCAGTATGATAGGAAGAGTGTGCATTTCGTGTGCGGTAATCTGAACATGTCAACACATGTTGAATTGTCAGCCACGGTGATGGACAGTTGGAGGTGATGATTTATAACTCCGACAGGTATGTGATATTTGACGGCGTGTGTAAATTATTCGTAATGAATTAATCAGATTTGCATGGAAACAAATACTTTGTAAGTAACTTGACTTACTACGTAATGAAATAACAACCTATTAATGTTTATTGCATTTGATATACGTTGGTTGGTTGGTTTGTTGTTTAACGCCGCACTCAGCAATATTCCAGCTATATGAGGGCGGTCTGTAAATAATCGAGTCTGGACCAGACAATCCAGTGATTATTATCATGAGCATCGATCCACGCAATTGGGATCGATGACATGCATCAACCAAGTCAGCGAGTCTGACCGCCCGATCCCGTTAGTCACCTTTTACGGCTAGCATGGGTTGCTGAAGACCTATTCTACCCTGAAATCTTCGCTGGTCCATTGATATACGCATTTTACCAAAGATATAGAACAGAAAATTAAACTAGAATGGTCATTCTCCAGTCAGTCAAGAGGGGTAGCCATTTTATTTGAAGATAATTTCGAGCACCAGATATTACAAGAATTTAGTGAAAAAAGAAAAGGGAAATTATTTGATAATTGAGATTAAGACGGCTGACGAAGTTCTTACCATAGCCAACATTTAAGGTCCTAATGCGGATACACCAGAATTTTATCATCCAAAACTGGCTCCCACAGGAGATATGGCTTGAATTAGATCAAGTGATATCTACACTGTAGATATCGCTGCAATGAAATTACATCACAATCCTTTGCAGACCATTGTGACGTCACTGGTTACCATGACATCACAATCAAATGACATCACTAATGGCTCTGCTACTGAAGCTGATAGCAGTACTTTTTACACTGAAGACCCTGCTAATTACTGACTACAAATTGAAAAAGTTGGAAGAATGATGTTGGATGATAAATAAAATCTCACACTCGGGTCTTTTGATATCAAATATATCAACACTCGTTGATAAAAGTGGCAAAAATCCTCGGCAAGCCTCGAAATTTTTCCACTTTTATCAACTTGTGTTGATATATTTGATATCAAAAGCCACTTGGGTGAGATTCTCTATATATCAAAACATTAAGCATCTAATTTATGAATTAGATTCTGAAACCAATATAATTTGTGGGGACTATACCTTGTACTGGATCAAGAAATGGATACTCACAATTACAAACACTTAAATAACCCCAAATCAAGAAGATTTGTTCTTGAAATGTCAGAAGAATTAAATCTTTATGATCCATGGCGGGAAGCTAATCTATATATCAAAAGATTTACTTGGCGAAAACCCCAACCATTAAAACAGGCCAGACTAGACTCCTTCCTTGTGAGTAGAAATATTGACAAATCAAATGTTTCAACTGACTTAACAGGTTTTTGATCAGATCATTCAATGATATCAATAGAAATAGAAATTCACAAACCTTGAAAGGGGGAAAGGCTTTTTGATCCAGAGTATATAAACTGTCTCATATTATTAAAGAAACAGTTGAACAATACAACAAATGGAAAAAATGGTGAAAAAGCTGCTTTTAATGAACAACTCTATTACGAAGCTTTGCTATGCAATAAAACAGGATGCACGATAAAATACTCATCAATCAAGAAACGTTATAGAACTAATGAAGAAAAAGAAATAATGAAAAGCTTGAACATTTAGAAGTTGAATTACATAAGGAACATGACAACGAACGGAAAATCCACATTTTACAAGAAATTTACGAAATTAAAACTAAACAAATCAAACTGAACTATATTAAAACTGACGGAATTATAATCAATAATGGGAGCAAAAGCAAATTGGCAGTAGAAAGGAGAAAAACCAACAAAGTATTTTCTATCACTTGAAAAACAAAAGTTCCCAAATAAGGCCATAACTTAACTTGAAAGTGATATCAAACTCTTGACAGATACCAAGATATTATTGATCATGTTTAGAAATACTGTCATACTTTATTTACAACTAAAGACATAAGAGATGATAATCTGGAAGATTTGTTCAAAGAATCACAAATCCCCAAGGTATCAGACACAGACTCTCAATCGATCGATATAAAACTTTCCTTTCCATTTTCAATT